TATCCCGTTTTATAAAAAATGATTAACTAGATTTAATTTTTAAAATAACATAATGTAAAGTGTACGTTTTTCGACGGAAATTGTTTTAAATGACTTAATAATTTATACCATAATGATCTGTTAAGCAATTATGTTTTTTTTCTAAATTTGAATTTTTGAGAAATTTATTTTCGCGATTCTAAGTGACTAAAGATCGTTTGCGACACCTTGTTCCAGTATGGTTTTTTTTAACTCCTTTTAATGCATATTATTCCTTTGAACCCTCTGAATTTGCCGCTGGAGTATCTGAAGACCATGTTGTGATGCATTTCAGCATAGCATGAATAATCGTGGAGCCTTCTTTATCAAAAATAATATGTTTATTGGACGTCTTCCACAACACAAACATGTAAAACAAACACATACACTTACATCACAAACGTTACATCACTGACTTGCATCGAATTCCATGTTCAATTCTCATTGTTCTTTTCCGTTGCTAGGCAACGTTAGCAAAAGACAAATATATCGTTGCCACACTTTTTTTTATAACCTTTAGAAAAGAATTAATGCCAAACGATTTTTTAAAATTAATTTCCTTTTTCAGCCAAACGATATTTTTAAATTAATTTCCTTTTTCAGCCAAACGATATTTTTAAATTAATTTCTTTTGTTACCAAACGATTTTTTTATCTTATTAATTTCTTTCCTTTAAATATTTTAATAATTCTACAAATATATATATTTTTATTCGTTACGAATATTACAATGTATTGGCTTTTTCTGCTATTTTACAAATAGTTATTAGTGGGTGTTCTATCGGGGTATTACGATTCCGGCTGTCCGATGGTGATGCTAGGATAAATAAAAATGGTCTTTTAAAAAAAAGACGACATTTGAAAATATTTATCTGCCAGCCCTTCATTGTATTAAACCACTGAAACAGAAGAAATAATCTCTTGGTATAGGATAATTCCATATTCCGCTGGTTTAGATGAGAACTTTGCTGAGACCAGAAACTCGACATTTCAGTAGAGCTAAATGAAATCTTCTTTTTGAAATTGAATTGCCCATAAAATACGTATGACTTATAAGGAAAGTTGCTTGTTTGTTAAGCATGGGATTTTACCTAAAGAAAAAACAGCTGTAGTGATTTTAAATATAATAAAGAATTCTGGTCGAGCTCTGGGGGGCTGCAGCCCGATGGCCCCCCCCCGGATTCGCCACTGGCCTGCTGTAATGTTCTCCTCCTGGGGAATCCACTTGCACTCTATAATCAAAAGATTGAGTTGGTTCTCCTGTGTTCTGAATGAATGAATATACGTCTACAGTTTTCATGTAAAGATCCTATACTGCGATCTGTTTACGTAGCTTATTGTGTTTTTTAGTTATCGCCTGCCATAAATGAATGGATAAATATAAAAAAAAATGTAATAAATAATATTTAAAAATCTCTTTTGTTTTTGTTTGTCTTCACTAGATGGCGCTTTATTCATATTTCTCATTGTGTTATCTTTTTCTCCTTTCCTTTTTTTGCCACTGGTTGAACCAGGGTTGCCATATTGGCCTTTTTAAGGCCAAATTATCGAAATTTGGCCTTTTTCAAAGCCCTTGGCCTTAGGAATTTTCATTTGGCCTTAAATTCATTTTTGGCCTTTTTTTAGCTTTACTTTCGTTAATGACTTTTAGAACAATTTTTAATTACTTATTTTATTGTTTTTTTTAAATAAATTTTTGATATTACACATTTCAAATGATATATAATGAGCTGTCGAACGAAATAGCTCCTGAATAGAACAAGGATGTTTTAAGTTTCTTTCACTTAAATTTTATTTTAATAATAGAACCTTGAAAATATGCCTATCAAGTGGGATTCGTTTTCATGAAGGCTAGCTGCTTTTCTAATAGCAAATGACATTTTCAATCAATTTGTCAATTTTGGCCTTATTTTTAAGAAGGTTTGGTCTTTTTGGCCTTATTTTTTATGAAGGTTTGGTCTTTTTGGCCTTATTTTTAAGAAGGTTTGGTCTTTTTGGTCTTATTTTGAAGAAGGTTTGGTCTTTTTGGCCTTATTTTTAGGAAGGTTTGGCCTTATTTTGCTATTTTGATCCGTCAACCCTGGGTTGAACTAGGCGGGATTCTTGAAATGGCGTTTGTCGGAAAGCGAGGTAGGCCGAAAATCTTTCTTCTCTTGTTCGAGTTTTTTATTTTTTATTTCTCAGGGACGGGACTTTTAGGGTCAATTAAGGGTTATATCTTGACCGATGTCAAACTCTTAGGCAGAAAAAAAATTCCCGTTTTGGATCTCTGCTTCTTGTTTATCCCCTGAAGAAGCACAAGAAGCCGAATTCCTCCATTTTGTGTTTTCGCTTTGTCTTCACTCTGTTCTTCACATACGCATCCTGCATAATGCCCCGAGTTAGGCGGAAACTCGTAACCGTGAGACCACCAGCTGATACATTGAGCTTCATAAATCAATCCCGAGAGGTTAATGCGAGTCTTCATTGACCATTCCATGTTTGGAAGTAATGAGGATTTAATTCCTCCCGTAACTGTTGCTTAACGGCTAGATCCTGTTGACTCAAAAATGCCTCATAATCTACTTAAAATTCCCGGTAGATTTTAGGGAAGATCCGCGTGCCGAGAAATTTTTAAACGTGCCCTTGGACAAAGAAAGTGTTGTTTCAAAATTCTTCGCCGCGAGGTTGCAAGGATGGTTGCGTATGCACGCATCTGCTTGTTCGGAGTTCACCAGGCTTGGAATTCACCTTCATCGAACCTGGGAGCCAGCCATACAGGAATGTTGCAAAACACTAATTTTGCGTTCGCCCGAAAAGATACCAATTAACACAAATCGCGCGTTCGACTCTGTGGCGTCAATACTGTAATATCTCATTTGCAGCAAGTTGGAGCTCACCGGTCCTCCTACTGAGATGTGGAAGTTGGTGTTGAGGGAAAAAAAATAATAGCGCGCGTCAGGCGAATACGCAATAAACTAGCACCTAATTAAAAAGCCATGAAAGCGACTTGATTAATTACCGGTTCCTCCCTAATAATTAGGTCCAAGGTTAATTAATTAGTGGGAATGAATGGAAAGTAACTGCATCAGTGGGACGCTGTCCGGGATAGCTGAGATAATAAATAATTTTGTTTCGTGATTGGAATGCGACGGAAAATGCTGTTTTGTTGTGCTTCTTTTTTCAGTTCTTCCATGACCAAAGACCATTTATTCCTCCCCTCAAAACGGGCCATTTTTAAAATTTTTTTACTTTCTCGTATACAAAGAGAAAATATTGTAATTGTCAAAAAATTCGAACTCGAGATTTTGACGAATCTCCACGTTTTAGACCTCCCCGAGTCCGAAAAACGCAATTTTGGAATCATGTCTGTCTGTCTGTGAACACGATAACTCGAAAACTATGAGAGCTACGGGGATGAAATTTGGCATGTGGTCTTTAAACATAATTTGTAGATTTTTATCAAATTTTGGAGAAAATCCGTCAACGGGAAGCCTGTCTGTCTGTATGTCCGAAGTCATGCGAACACTATAACTCAAAAACTTGAATAGCTAGATGGATAAAATTTTGTACACAGTTTTATCGTCATGAATGTAGGTTCGTATAAAATTTTGGGCCACATCCGTCAACGGGTTGACTTGCATATTTTTTATGTAAGTTTATGTGCATTCAATAAAACACATATTTCTTCAGTTTTTATTTGATGATGAAAAGAACAGGAATAAGCGCGTGAAGTCTCGCGTGTTTTGACTCGTTTTGAATTCACGCGATCTTGCATTTTTCTGAAGAACGCATTTTTGCTTCGGTGTATGTGGTGTTGATTTAAAAATGAATGAAATTTTTGGCAGGATTTCTTAAAATTTGCTTTGGTAATTAACGCTGCTGGGTCATTCCATTGTGACTAACGTAACTTTTGAAAGATTTTAACAAGCTATAATATGACAAAATACTCTTAAATAATCTCTGATGGAACCTTTTATCCTTATATTTTATGTACACTAGTCGGTATAACATATCCATGCAGAAATTATTTTAAAAGATAATGATTTAACCAAATTAAATTAAATTTTTAACTTTGTGACTAACGTTACGTTAGTCACAAAGTTAAAAATTTAATTTAATTTGGTTAAATCATTATCTTTTAAAATAATTTCTGCATGGATATGTTATACTGACTAGTGTACATAAAATATAAGGATAAAAGGTTCCATCAGAGATTATTTAAGAGTATTTTGTCATATTATAGCTTGTTCAAACCTTTCAAAAGTTACGTTAGTCACAATGGAATGACCCTGCTTTATAAACTGCGACTTTCGAATGTGTTTTCTAGCTCGTCCACGACTTTTTTCATAAGAAAAAAGACCCTTTCTGCGGGTACCTAAGTGCCGGGCAGACACAGAATATATTCAATAATTATACGAAAGTTCGTATGATTTAAATGATTGGCGTGAAAGTGTTTGAACAGTTCCACCGAAAGACATTCGGTTTAAATATTCCCCGTGTTCCATTCTGTCACTTCGTGCGGTGTAATGAAGTTAGAACTAAGTGCGAGATAGGAGGCTTCTGAACAACATATGTGTGACACGTATAGCGCATGCTCCGTCATCGACGGGCTACTAGACATTACCATCAGGGTTTTTTAACGTCTTCTTGTTTGAAATTATTATAGTGGGTTGCTCTCTTTCTGAAAACGCGACTGGGCGTCTGGAAGCTGTGCTTGGGGACAACGGGACAGTCTACCGATAAACGGGACAACGGGACAGTCTACCGAAAAATGGGACAACGGGACAGGCTGCCGGAAAACGGGACAGTCTAACGAAAAACGGAATAGGCTACCGAAAAACGGGACAGCGGGACGTATGGTCACATTATCCATGACCCCCTCTGGGTTATTGTTGTATGTTGATACACGAGTCTTGTGAAAGATTGCTGTGTACAAAAATGGCGAGTTAAGAGTTAATGTGGACCAAGTCCATATTTCGACATTGTTCTACTGACATTGCCATGGGAACAGCCGAGTGGTCAGGTGTCGGCTTTGGGAGCGGAGGGCTCTAGGTTCGAAACCCAGTTCCACTGAATATCCTTCGTGTATTGCGCCTGTTGAACGTTAAATCATGCGCAGAGGCCAAACGTCCTCCCGCTGGTGTGGTGTAAAAGTTTGGAGAGGGGGTGCCAGCCCAGGTGTCGCCCTCGTCAGCCGACCGCGGTTCAAAAGGACGAGGTCCGCCCCAAAATAGCCCTCGTGTTGCTTCAAAACGGGACGTTTATATAACTAAACTAAATAAATGACTCCAATGACTATCAGAAAATATTTAGGTAAAGAATCAAATTCAAAGAGATGCGTTCCGATTAAATGCGTACCGATTTCTACTCTTGCTGGCTCAAGGACAAGTCACATAATCCTTCCGCGTGCACAGATTGCTACCACCAGTACGCATGCGTATGGAGAATCGGATGAAAAAAAAGCGCCAAGCAGGGGTCATTAAATATCGTGCGCAGAAGATTGCGTCCAGTATGCATGCGCGTGGAGATTCGGAGATGCGATTATACAGACCGACAGACAGTCAACCCGTTGACGGATTTGGCCCAAAATTTTATACGAACCTACATTTATAACGATAAAACTGTGTACCAAATTTTATCCATCTAGCTGTTCAAGTTTTTCAGTTATAGTGTTCACATGACATGCAGACTGACAGACAGACTTCCCGTTGACGGATTTTGTCCAACATTTGCTAGAAACCTACAAATTATGTGCAAAGACCACATACCAAATTTCATCCCCGTAGCTCTCATGGTTTTCGAGTTATCGAGTTCACAGACACACAGACAGACATAATTCCAAAATTGTGTTTTTCGGACTCAGGGAGGTCTGAAACGTGGAGATTCGTCAAAATCTGGAGTTCGAATTTTTTGACGATTACAATACTTTCTCTTTGTATACTTCGTATGCGAGAAAGTAAAAATAACACAGGCCTGCAAAAAAATACTTTTTGAAAATTGTTTTTATTTTGATGACTGATTTTTATGTTATCTTTAGTGCTGATTCTAAAAATGAAATCCATTTATGTCTATCACGTCAGGATTTTTTACAAAGTGATTGCATATTTTGAAGAAAACAGTCGAAATCGCGATACATTTATATCCTAGTTCAAGTAATTGTTAAGTATAGGTAGAAAGTTACAAGTCGTTATAGTTACGTTTTTTCTTTACGTCAAAAGTTCTTTTGTCACTTTTTCTCTTGTAAACTTTGCAGGGATTGTCTCTTTGTAGCATTCAGCAGTAGTCGGCTATCATGCTGACATTCCATTTTCCTTGATATCACCTCTCCATTTTCTTTATATCTTGGTGAAATATTTCACCTTGTTCCTCACTAACTGCACCTAAATTTTCAGGAAAATAGTCCAGGTACGAATCAAGAAAATGAACTTTTCAGCTCATGCTACAGCCTAAAATCTTGAAATTTTTTATTACCTCTTCTATAATAGATTTGTAGTTTGGGTCCTTTTTGTTTCCAAAAAAGCTACTAATAACTAATCTGAAAGATTCCCAGGCTTTTCTTTCGTTTGTTTCCATTTTAGTCTAAAAATTTTCATCTTTCATCATTTTCCTGACGTCTGGTCCTACAAACGCACTTTCCTTCAGTTTTGCTTCGGATAAACCCGGGAACTGGTCACAAAGGTATTTGAAGCATTCACCTTCTTTTGGTAAAGCCCTCACAAATTTTTTCATAAAATTAATTTTATGCGAAGCGGTGGAAGTAACACTTTTTTGGCAAGCAGGCGAGGTATCCGGTTTCAACTGGTTTCCTCTGTCTTTAATATTGTGTTTAATAGGCAATTTACCGATTCAGAGGAATATTCTGGATTGAAATAGTTTCTTCTTTCTTGTTTGGTAGTTTAAACCACCAATTTACTATTTTAAGTCCATAAATTTGTTTATCGAACTCATATAAATAATACTTTTTTGGTCCGAAATATACGAAATTCGTAAAAAATAGATTGCGATCTGTGATGAAACTGTACGTGATGGAATTTTTTCATTATTTTTCCAGTAATCAGCATCCAAAAAACTATAAAAAACACCACTTGCTTTACCGACAATTTTTTCATCGCAGACCTGTGTAATTATTCTTTGGCGACAAAAGGCCTCACGATGTGGTTTTGAAGAATGTTAATGCTTTGTTTGCTAGATATTTGGCCATGAAATTAAATCGTTGTCTTCCACTTTTTTGTCTTAATTGGTCGTAATTATTCTACCTTCAAAGGCGTCGGGCTGTGGTTTAGTAGCAGAATGCTGTCCAAGGATGGCTCGTTTGAGTCCCGATTCTTTCTAAATGGATTTTGAAGGGTGTCATTTAAGGCTATCTTATTGTATCTTTTTTGTCACGGCCATTTTGTTATAATTATATGAATCTTAATCGCAGTTTCGTGATCGGAAGATGGGCGGTTTGAATCTCGATTTTATAAAAGACCAGCGGTACGCGCACGGCGTTGCCCGTGGAATCAGGACTTCAACAAAATAAAAAAAGTCCTCATACAATTACATAAATGAAAGTTTTAAAAACGAAATCAAAACAGAAATATATATACAGTCAAACGCCGTTATAACGAACCCTCAACGGACCGGCTCAGAAGTTCGTTTTAATCGAGGTTCGCTGTATCCGTATTTGCGAGAAAAAAAGTGCCCTAACATGCTAAGATACTACTTCTATAATAAACTTTTTAATAACATAATATTTTCATTAGTAATTAAGGACAAATAAAGTATTAAATAATTCGCTTGCCAACGTTTGCCATGGTCACTGCAAAGTTCACAGAATGATAAGCAATTAAACTAAAATGGCAGAGAAAACACGTGATTGCTCCTAGGTCGTCTGGCCAGAAAGTCCTCCCCCTTCCTTGGTTGACACCAGGCCAAGTGTCCACAAGGGGGGGGGAGGGGAGATAGAAACTGTAAACAGCCTTGCCTATTGTTCCTTTGTCCCACTTATGGGGTTAGCAGCGACTCTAACAAAGGTACAATAGGCAAGGAATGTGGTCTCTGAACCAGAGTATTTCATGCAAAAAGGGTAACTCTTGTAGAAGTTAAGTTGACTTGAGCACAATTAGTAAATAATGTCCCTTTGGGCAAGTGAAAAGTTTGAAGTTTTAGAAATTTTCAGTTCGCTATAACCGAGTCTCTAACGTTTGCTGTTCATTGTAAACGTATGAAAATACATTATTAACATAGGGCTTCAGTTGAGACCATGTAAAAGGTTCGCTGTAACCGAGTGTTCGTTATATCCCGGGTTCGCTATATCGCGGTTCGACTGTATTATTGAGTTTGTCCGCTTCTTTTTCCTCTCGACCGAGTACCGTTAATCCAAAACAATGTTAAAAAATTACAATGTGATATTTATTACATAGCAAGCAAAGTATGAAGGGGAAAGAAATAAGTTAAGACACGCTTAAAAATAATAATCGAAGTCATTGAGTAAATAAATCATCTCCTTCCAGAACGCGAAAGTAATGAGGTCACGCAGCCCCGTCAGCCAATGAAATTGCCCGCAACGTTCCGGAGAACTGTCGCGGAAGGAAGCCTCGCTAGAGGGAAAATATCTTTCAACTACCAGTAAAAAATTAATAAAAAAAAACGGAAAAAGATATTTTAACCATTCTTGTTTTAAATCCGACAGAACCGTTGCAGTTATAAGCTGAAAAATTTTGAAAATGATATCTTTATTAGAACATCGGATGCAAGAGTTTTAAGGATTCCAGAAAATTTTATTTTTGAAAAGTGACTATTTATAAAAAAAATTCAGTAAATTACGTTAGAAATTCGAAACTAACTTCATTAGAGCGGAAATCGCGTGCTCTTTCCAATGGTTTAACTTTTTTTTTCGTACAATTATTCGAAACCATTCTATTGAGAAATTAGTGCGAAAAATCAACCAAGACAACACAAAACATTAAATAAAAAAATTTCTGGATTAAATTTTAAAATTTCGGCTTCGAGGTGCATTCAGTCACCATTACGACTACCTGTGTGCCAAATTTCATGGCTGTAAGTGCGATAGATTCGTCTGGACATCGCAGACACACACACAAACATTGCCTTTTATAAGTATATACTAACGGTACGCGCACGGTGTTGTCCGTGGAATCAGGACTTCAACAAAACGGTGAAAAAATGCCCACAATGACACGAAAAAGTTTTGAAAAGAAAATCAAAACAAAAGATGAATATTATTGAGTTTCCTGATTATTTTTCTTTGCGATGATGACATTTATCAAAACAGAAATGTATATGTTATTGTGTTCGCCCGCTTCTTTTTCCTCTCGACAATGACGCGAATGTGATGACGTCACTTGCCTCGAGGAAAGTCACGCACCAGCCAATGAAATTGCAATAATGCATGCCGGAGAAACTCTCGCTGTTAAATCTCGCTAGCAAAAAAAAACTGTTTGAACTGATCAGGGAAAAATTAACTAAAAAAGATATTTTAATCGTTCTTGTTTTAAATCCGACATAAACGTTCCAGTTATAAGCTGAAAAAAATGAAAATTATAGAGATGTTAGAACGTCAGATGCGAGAATTTGAAGAAATCCTTATTAAAAATTACCATAAAAGTTATTATTTTTAAAAAATTTCTCATAATTCAGTAAATTACGTTAGATGTACGAAACAAACTTCATTAGAACAGAAGTCGTTTGCTCTTTCCATTGGTGTAACTGTTTTTGTTGTTGTTGTACAATTATCCGAAGCCATGCTATTGAGAATTGAGTGCGAAAAATCCCCCAAAACAACGCAAAACAATAAATAAAAATTTTCTAGATTAAATTTTAAAATTCCGGCTTCGAGGTGCATTCAGTCACCATTACGGCTACCTGTGTGCCAAATTTCATGGCTGTAAGTGCGCTAGATTCGTCTGGTCATCGCGGACACACGCACAGAAACATTGCCTTTTATAAGTATAGATTCTTTTCTTAAAAACTATCTATTAAACGTAGAAACTTGCTTGGTACAGAAAAGTTACTTATGGTAGTTCAGTTTAGTTATTTAATCAGCAAAGTTACTTATGTTAGTTATTATC